TTTTTTTTTACAAAAGCAACGTTTGTACAATATCTTAAATCATTTACAAAATTAAATTTCATCCTAAGTCAAATTTGAAACATTGATTGTAGAGTTTTCCATTTGAGGCAGACTGACGCGCATAAAAAAATCCATCCAGCATTCTTTTATATTCTCACTGAGAGTTCGCAGTGAATTTCATGTGTATGCTGTCAGCCCTCTGTGCAGCTGGCTGTGAACTCACAGGAAGTGTGTGTGTGTGTGTGTGCGTGCGTGCGTGCGTGCGTGTGTGTGTGTGTGTGTTTGTTTGTGTAAACTAATCCACACATGCAGTGAGCCTTTTTTTGTGAAACTGGCCCTCCACCAATGTAACAGCAGCTATAACCAGTTTTGTGGTTTTTGCACAGAATGCATCACACCTGCCTGTCATGTCGGCCTCTTTTACAATTTTCATCTTTAGCTGCCGATCGCTCGTAGCGATTCGGAATGATTTTGGTTTTAAATGACAACATTTTTACCTCCATCATCTCGAGACAGATTCTGTCACGGTGCAAAAAAGCTCCTGTGGGTTTTTTTTGTTGCTTTCTTTTTTTTTTTATCTTGCATCAAGAAATATATATATTAGTGTTGAGCTTTTAGTTTGCAGAAGAAGGTGGTGAAGAATGTGGCACTTAATAAATGAGTCGCCGATAGGTGAAGTGAGCTTTGGACTCCATTCACGCCCCGCTGGTGTCTCCCTCTGATTAGGCATCGGCTACTCCGTGTTCTCCCACGGCAACCTGAACCGAGCTCTGGACATGAAAAGCCCTCCTCCACTGAGCCTGGGCAGCGAAAACCTGCGGGCAGACACTGCTAATCAGGCCATGGGGGCCACAAGAGTAAACCACAACTCTGCTGTGAGTATCTGTTGCGATCAAAAATGAAACAATCTGCCACTTGCTGGGCTTATAAGCCAATGCACAACTCTTTAACCTGCCAGTTGTAACGTAATTTCACAGTTTGCTTTCTCACTCGCCCTCATCTCTCACTACAATAGTGATTACAAGTCACAAGGAGTGACATCACTGCACATTTTGTGTTTCACTATTTGTACTTCTCCTCCTCATCATCATCAGAGGAGTCTGCTGTACCAGGGCCTGCACAGCAGCAGCTCGATGGTGGCGATGGGTAAAGCGGGTCTCCTGAGTCACAGTTTGGGGGGCTATGGGCTTCCCCCTGCTGGAGCCTCTGGTAAATCTGTTTTCAATTATTTTTCTTTACAGTTAAAAAAAAAAATATATATATATATATATATATATATATATATATATATATATAATACAGTCAGTGTACATAATGCTTTGAAGACATTTGTGTACCCTATGTAAAATTTTTCTTTTCAAACTTTTATTTTTAAGTTGTATTGTTTTAAGAGATTTTATGTTACGAACAGAAATCAGTGCATAATTGGGCAGCAGAAGGAAAACGAAACATGATTTTCCTAATTTTTTTATTTTTTATTGTTTTTTACAAAAACTAAATCTGAAAACTGCCGCGTGTGTTTATATTCTCCCTTCCAGACTAAACTTTGTTGAAATACTTCCTGACCCGTGGATATCTACAGCTCTTCCAGAGTCACCTTGCTCTCCTAGCCTGGCTTGTTAGTTTAGGTTTGAAACCCTGGTGTGATTTTATCCGGCTCTTTATCTCTGCTGCGTTCCTTGGTCTTCCTGATGCTGTTTGTTCATTGATGTTCTCTAACAAACCTCTGAGGCCTTCAAAGATTAGCTGGATTTATACTGAAATTACACGACAAACACGGGGAGTCTGTGGGCTAAATGTGAAGGTTGCCCCGGATGTTATTTGGGTATATCAGAGTAAAGGGACCTGAGTACAAATCCAGATCATATTTTTAACATATACATGCCGAAGTGTGTATAAGTACATGTTTATAATGTTATAAGTTTGTTGTTTGTTGTGTCCTAAAAGAGAAAATTCAGTAAAATATATTGGGGGGGAAAAAAAACCCATATACATACCATATTTCTTTTTTTGTTTGCTCTGAAAACAAAAACAAAAAAAAAGAGAAAATATTCATTATTTTCCTTACCTTCCCAGTTTTTCACTAATTAACTGATTATATGTTGCGATAGCAAAATGGACATGCAAAGGACCCAAGGCTGAGGTCTAAAGGCGGAAAAGCCCTCAGTAAAGCCAGGCCCAAGATAAAAGTTATACTCGACTTGTTAGCTGTATGTAGGGCGGACAGATTTCGACGTCACAACAAGACCACAAATGTAAATGCTTGTGCTTGAGGTGCAGTCAACCTGCTGCATTCTTCACAAGTTAAGACTAAAAATGGCAGGTGACACTAATAAGAAAGTGACACCTCTATTGCATTGGGAACTACATCCATTTTAGAGACGAGTCTCGAATCTGTCGGTAGTTTCAACTTCCCTCTTCTATTTTTCTCTTAAGCTTTTTCATGTTTTTGTGATTATTTTTAACTTTCCTGGTTTACCAGCACAGCGAAGCCTGCTCACAGACTCCTGACTCGAGCGCGCCCATTCCTCAAAGGCAGCTTTCAAACAGCAATTGGCAAGTCAGCGTTCGCCGAACGGTCAGCAGCAGCTGTCCACGCCGACTGCTATGAAATCCGCAACCGAGACCATAAATGTCCTCCGTAACTCCAAAAGACCGATGGAGTTCGATTTTAACGTCTTAATGAAAGACAAATGTACCAGCGTACTCCTACACCGAGAGCTGTTTGGAGACAACCAGGGTCATCAGGTGACATGAAGTGACAGTGCATGAAGTATGCACCATTGTGAAGTGAGGCCTCGAGGTTCCTGCTGTGCAGCTACTTTTAGATGTGTCCCTGGTCGCGAACACCTGAGCTGAATTACCAAATAACCTCCTCAGCGTACAGTTGAGCCTCGTTCAAGTTTTGAAGCAGAGACGCATTTTAAAAGTTGCAGTGCACCGACCCACGAGGACTGGAGTTTTACATGTAAAGAGTGAGAAATACTTAAGGGAACCTCAGTTTAGTTTGCTCAGCCAAGCAGAGAGTAGTTTATTGTTCAGTTTTTCAAGCTTTGCGCACAAATTAAAAACAACAACCCTGAGACAGGAAGCTGGTTTGAGTTATTTCCTAAAAGAATTAGCTGGTGTATCTTTTCATACAGTGTAGCTGTTTTGTTGTTGTTGTCTCGCGTGTCTTGGAGATGATTTTCTTGACGTTCCTGTCTGTCTCTTTGTTTTAGAGTACAGCCAGCCTGGTTTCTTTCACTCTGTCAGCTTACAGCGAGGACCGGTGAATCCCTGGCAGCATGAGTCTCAGAGTCCTCATATCAGCTCAGGGTGAGTCATAAAACTGGCCCTGTCTCTGCAGGAGATTGTCTCTTGTTCAAATGTTCATTTCCATCTGAATTCAGAAAACTGGGGTAGTAAAATGCATGAACCTCTTTATTTTGATACCTTCAACACACACACAGAGAGAGAGAGAGAGTTCTGTGAAAAGGGAAATATTGTTTTTATCTATCAGGTCGCTGAGAGATGGCAGATAAAGTCTGACCAACAGTGTTGGTCAGACTTCTCTGTATTGAAAGTAGAACCAAAATTGACGCCGGCTCTAAAGAAACGATAAATCATGAGAAACCAAAAGAAAACCTCCGGATGAAGTGTAGAAGCGAAGCAAACGAAACATAAATTAGTATTTGTTTCTGTCTTTCTGGTAGCCATGACATGCAAAGCGTCTGTGGATCTCAGCCTTGAAATAGAAACTGCAGGCGCCTCGGGAGGAAGTTGTCTAAAAGTCTTAAAAACTTTGGTTTTCAGTCTGCGTTCGCGTCTGAATCACATATGAGGAAATCAAAGAAATAACTAATTAGTTCATTGATAAAAATGCATGTCACACTGTGAAAACAGGAAAGACCAAAGCACAACATAAAAAAAGAAAAACCTGTTCATGAATACTGACTCATCATTTCTTCTTTTGCACATAATAAGCAGAAATTATGTGCAAAAGCATTCCTAACCTCTTGAATTGCCCCATGTTGTTTCCCATTGCAAACACAAACATCTTTGAAGTTTTTATGTGAAAGAGTAAAAAAAAATATTATTACTTAGAGGAAGAAAATTGTGGCTTGCATTCATCTTCAGTCGGTTACTGTAGTAGAGTCAGCAGTTGGTCGGCCTTTTTTTTGCCACAATTACATCAGCAAATGTTTCGAAGCACGTCTCAACTAGTTTTGCATCTTTGTAGAATAAAAGCACAACATCTGTCAGATTGGATCAACTTTGACATTAACAAGATATTTTCAAGCCGTACGTGAAATATGATTTGCTCTGAACTGTTTCTTTGTATCTCTGGGGGTAAGTTTAGAGTCATTGTGCTGCTGGAAGGTTTACCGCTACCCAGGTCTCAAGTCCTCTGTGGTCTCAAGCAGGTTTTCTCTCAGCATCGCCCTTTTTTTAGCCCCGTCTGTCTTCCCATCAAGTCCGACCAACTTCTCTATCTCCACTGAAGAAAAAGCGTCACCGAAGCATAATACCGCCACTACCTTGTGTCACTAGGAGGACGGTGTGCTCAATCTTAGTTTTTCCACCACACATAACGTTACGCATATGGGCCAAAGGTTACATTCTGGTCTTATCTAACCAGAGCACCTTGTTTGATAGGTTTGCAGTGTCCCTACATGACTCGTGGCAAACGGCAAATGAACTTTATTCCAGAAATGATTTTCTTCTCTGTACTCTTCTTTGAAGGATTTTTTTCTTACATTTTATTTCATGTTAAAATCATTTTTCTTTGACTTTACACTAATGAGATATTTTGAGTTGGTGTGTAAAACATTAAAAGCCAAGAGGCTTCCTGCTTTATTGTGATAAATTGCAAAAAAAAAAAAAAAAGGACAAGGGGAAGGAATACTTCAGCACTGAAGTAACACTTAACTAGTATCACAGATTAAGCAAGATGATGCCCTTTTGGTGTGAATGTGCTAATACTTTAACTTGTTGTTCCCAGGATGTCCAGCGGGGGGTGCTCCTTCCCACCCCAGTCTTGCTCCTCCAACTCCTCTCACCTTGCCTCCTTGAACCTCAGCATCAAATCGGAGCGAAGCTCGCCTGACCACATGTGCTCTCCGTCCTCTCCTCGTCTGCACCACCTCCGGCAGCATTCGCCCACGGGCAACGACGACGTGGCACGCCACAGCCCTCCGGAAGCCCACCCGGCCAACAGGACGAAGGAGCTTCCCAAAGCCGGCTACCCGCAGGACGGAGAGGAGCGAGGGCAGCCTGTCAGGCAGCTGGAGATGAGCGACGGCTGGCAGAGATAGCCAGCTGCCACCGCCTCCCGCTCAACGGCTGCCAACAAAACCCGACGGGGTCGAGATGTTTTCTAGAGCGTCCCCCACCGACCCCGTTGGGGACGTCTCGTCTCGCAGAGCTGGGCTCTCCAGGGTGGGAAAGAAATCCTCCCTTCAAGTCACTCGCTTGATCCCACGAGGCGATAGACGCATACGGACTTTCTTCTTTTGATTTAGATTTTTCTGTGCTGAAACAAAATACAGTTTGATTATGTTTTTTTTTGTTTGTTTGTTTTGCAGCTTTGGGAAAATAGTTAAAGACTAGCTGAGTTTTCCCAGAAGTTTCAAGGTTTCTGAAAGTACATTTGGCCTTTAAAACAGCATCTCTTCCGAGTCCGGACTGAAACAAGACATGAAGCACCAGTTTTAAAAACTATGAATAAACATTGAAATTTATTTTATTTTAGAAATTGCTCATTTTTATTTAAATCTACGTTAAAACGCTTAAGCTAATTATTAGCTTCCTACACAATGAGGATTAGTATGTCAAAATTTATTTTGACTGATCAATTTTGACTAATTGATCAGTCAAAATCAGACTTCTAAATTATAATTTTAAAAAATGTTTTGAAATGAGCAAAGAGGCTTGATTGGAAACTTAAGAATTCAGTCTGACATATAATTAAATATCTTGTTCAAGAACCAGTCTAAAAATATGCAGTGAAGTTAATTCGTGTGTTCGTCTGTTCGTCTGTTCTTCAATCATAAATGTAAACTTGAAAAGACTCATTTTCTCCCTGTAGGAAGCGGCTCTTGTTCACAGATTACCTCCGCGATGCTAGGCTAACCCACTAATGTCCAAACCGTTTTCAGACTCCATGTGAACACGCCTGCCTCGTTCAAAGCAGAGTTCTCACAATCGGAACCTGCTGCTTTTTCTTTTTGCTCTCAGGTTTGACACATTTTAAGCTTTAGCTCTATATATATATATATATATATATATATATATATATATATATATATATATATATATCTCCCCAAATGCGGGAGATTTTTTTTCTTTTTTAATGATACGCAAATGCTATCCCCAAGCTTTATGTTAAATCCTGCGAAACCCAAAGAAATATCCACATCCCCCATTTGCTTAGATTTTCCTTCTTTACCTCCCTTGCTGTTCTGTTCACTATGTGTTGGCACAAAATACATGCCTTCCTTCTAACAAGTAGCCAAAAGAAACGGGACTCATTAATAAATTAAAGTTTGCATTTTTCAGTGTAAGATTACGCTACAATAAAAAAATAAAAAACAGTGAACTTATTGTATTTATCTTTAATACCAATAATAAATGTGGATGGTGCTGAATTGAACATGGTCAAATAAGACTTTGTTACCATGGCTGCCGCCTCTCGCCTCTTCATGATGTACAGATATGGGACAACCTGCGTGACAAATCTTTGCCTTTCTATTGTTCTGCTCTTTTTTAGCTGCATCTGGTTCATTGATGTGTAGTAAAAACTGCTGGTGGCCGTTCAGATCATTTCCTCTTCTTGTCCTCCAGGGGGTGGTATTATGTCACACTATCGCAACCTAATAAGGCTGAGGCTGTATGCGGTAAGCTTTCTGTCGCTGATTGGTTATCTTAAAAAAAAAGGATGTCCATGACCTGATGGAGGTTCAGGTACATGTTTTACCTCAGTGAAAAGAGGTCGCCACATCGAACCTCTGTGGCAGAGTTAGCTTTGTTTTTATTTTATGCGTTTATATATCTAAAAAAAAGAAGAAAAAAAAAGTTTTTATGAGTATTCTTATTTTACTGCAGATTCCTTTTTTTTCTAATGTTAGTTGAGTTCCTCTCCAGCAGAACAGAGACTGATTTTTATTTGACATTTGTCGTGAATCCTTTTAAATAAAAAAAACATTTTAATTTGTACCTTTTGCTCCTGGTTTCTTTCTCTCTCGCTTTTGTCTTTTTTTTTTACTTTAACATCTAACATTTAGTTAAATATCTCGCTTTGAAGAGAAAATGCGAATCCGTTGCCTGTTTTGCGTTGTCTGAAGGCTGATAAAAATGCCATTTACTGCACACCTTTCATGTTTCCCTTTATTTCTTCTTTTTTCACCTACTTTCTATCTTTTGAACCCACATGCAAACACACTCCCTCATTATCATGTCACGGCCCTGTCATGCTCCTCGCCACGCAGCCACCAGAAAGTGGAGAGCGAGAATGGGCTGCTTAAAAGCCCGGAGACCTTTATGTCTGGCTTGGAGAGAGAGAGAGAGAGAAAAGAAAACTAAAATTGTTCAGTATAAAAAGGCTCATTTCCACAGCTGGTTGTCTCGCGGTGACTGTGAAGGAGCATTTTACGGAAACCCCACCGACGGAGAATTTGCCTTCCCGCTTACACCCAAACGGGGAACGGGCTGATACCAGCATGGACCGACTCTGTTGTCTTCCCTCCAAAAAAAAAAAAAAAAAAAAAAAAAAAAAAAAAAAAAAAAATTTCACCGGGGGCATT